AAAAATAAGAACCAAGATACTCATGTAATGGTACAAGATCCCCATGATGAATGTAACTGTATTTTATACCTAAAATGTACCAATAAACTTAATGGGAAAAAAAATAAAAATAAGTAATTTATAGAACCTAGATGTGGGCTATATTTATTTTTTTCCCTCTAATTTTTTTTTGCTGTTTCTCTTTTCTTGACCATATTTGTCTTTATATTATAAAATGCCTCGTATCCTCTCTATAAATAATATGTAACCCAATCAGTGAAAGAAAAAAGACTCCCTGAAAATAAGACCTAGCCAGAAAATAATCACCCTGGAAAACTAGAGATCAAAAAATGCCAGGGCTAGGCTGGGGATTTAGCTCAGTGGTTCTGCTGCCTGCCTCTCAAGTGCAAGGTCCTGAGTTCGATCCCTGATACAAAAGAAAAAATGCCAGTCTCAGTCAGCCTATCTTGCCTTACCTGCCATCACTGTTCTCTTGCTCAGTGGCTACTCTGTAAGGCAGGTAGGTCTTATTTCCAGGTATGTCTTATTTTGGGGCAAAAACGGAAGTACATGAATTTCAATGAAAACTTTCCTTTTTTATTTTACTGTAAAACAAATACATATTAATAAAAACATTCTTCTATGAAAAAATAAAAATTTCATAACAAAATAATTAGAGAGCAGCAATGATTAATATACTATGTGGGTCAAATCCAAAATAGTGTGAAAAAATTCAAAGCAATAAAATCTGAATATACATACCTCTTTCATCTACCGTAGGCTAGCACATAGAACAGAGCTAATAGTCATGATTTATGTCACTCACTCCAACTACAGTTAACATTTACTGCTTTCTTCAATCAGACCAGGAAAGACAAAGCTTCAGAAATACCATTGTGGGGGGAAAAAAACCAAAACCATTGTGACTACTAACAAGCCATTAAACCTTTCACCCCACCCTCCCCTGTCCTGCCCCCACATACTTGAAGCATCTCAACTATTTTATCTGCTCTGTTAATAGATTGGCAAAACAGATGTTTTATAAAACTGCAGCAGTCCTGTAGAACCAGAACTCAAAGCTTGTAGTAACATTATTTGTATTCAAAAATGGATTGAATAAGGGGCAACTAGGAAGTTATCTGAACCTATGGAGCCCTGTGCATATACTGTGGATAACAGGACAGCTAATGCTAAATCAGGCTGTTTTATCAAAAAGTTAATTACTAGGATAAACTAGTATCCTAGTAGCTTGTTGAATATAACAATATTACATTCAGTCATTGTAGTTTTAGATAGTGGTAGATACATAATTCCTGACAGATAAGACCATTGTTTAAAATAATTTTTGTGTGAGCTTTAGGTGTGTATTAAGCTGCTTCATTTTTCTCTGAAGGCAATACAATGGGGAAAGATGAGTAGATACTCCCTTGTATTTGCCTAATACACCGAAAGGTTCTTTATTTCAAGCCTGGTCTCTCTTGTTTGTTTTTTGTTTGTTTGTTTGTTTGTTTGTTTTGGTACCGGGGATGAACCACTGAGCTAAATCCTCGGCCCCAGCCTGATCTCTCTTGGGTATATAAGACCAGTGCACTAACCCATAAGCCACAAAGCCATCCTACAAGACACTTTAAATATAGCTATCCATTGCCTTAACTACTAATAACTCCTCCACATTTTCTTTATTTTTTAAATTTAAAAAAAGTTAACATGTAATATCAATACATATTTATGGGGTACAGTGTGATTGGGGGGGAGGGTTTGTTTTCTTTTGAGACAGGGTCTTGCTACACAGACCATGTTGGTCTCGAACCCACAATCCTCCTGCCTTAGCCTCCCCCAGTACTGGGATTACAGGTGTGCACTGCCATGTCAGGGTCCCAGTCTGATGTTTTGATACATGTATACAATCTGTAATGATCAGTTTTGAGTAATCAGTGTATTTATCACTTCAAGCATTTATCCTTTTTTTGAGATTAGAAATAACCTCTTCCCTGCTTTAAAAACTGGATGAATGTAACCAGGTGTGGTGCTATACACCTATAATCCCAGCTATTCAGGAGGCTGTTGCAGGAGAATTATAAATTCAAGGCTAAAAATAAAAAAATTTTTAAATGAATTTAAGGCTATCTAGGCAACTTAAAATAAAAAGGGCTAGAGACATACTGGCAAGGCCCTTGGTTAAATCCCCAGTACTGCAATATAAAAAAACCTTGATGTAAAAAAAAAAATTTTTTTTTAATTAAAAAAAATAAAAATAAATTAAAAAGAAACAAAACCTTGATGTGGCAGTGTTTTACTCTGACCCAAAGTAATAATAGTTGTAGTTTTGGCCTTTTTTTTTCTTCAGAATTTTTTTTTTTTTGGTACTGAGGATCAAACTCGAGTCCTTATGCTTGGGCAGCAGGGGGCAAAACCACCGAGATTTTTTGAGACAGTATCTCATTCCAGTTCAGGCTGGCCTTGAACTCACTGTGTAGCCCAGACTAGCCTGAAACTCACAGCAATCCTCCGGCTTCAGCTTCCCAAGTGCCAACATTACAGTCATGTACCACCATGCCCGGCAATAGTTGTAGTTTTAAGGAGAATTTAATTCTTATTTTCATTACTACATATGAATACCTTTTTAGGGATTTTTTGCCCTTTTTATTTTTTTCATTTTGTATTTTAAGACAGTTGTTCATATCTCTTTTCACCTGATTTTGTGTAGGTAGTTCTTCTCTAACAAACTGATGATATAGATCTTTGTAGTTGAGTTGTTTAAAACCACTAATTATCAATCAAATAAAATTTTGGGGCTGGGGATGTAGCTCAGTGGCACCTCTGCCTGCCTTGCAAGTGCAAGGTCCTGAGTTCAAGCCCCGGTACCAGGAA